AAACAAAATATTGTTTGCAGAAAAATGATTTTTACTAAAACATTGTAAGTATCGTCTTAAATGGAATGCTATCTGAGTGAGTTTCCCAGACTTTGAAACTGTCAGACATTTCTGACAAAAACACAATAATTATAGTAACTTTATGAACATTTGTTAAATCTAGTAGCAGAATTATGAATGAAGTCAGTATAGTATATTCTTGAACTTTTCTCATCTGTGTTTCTGGATAAAGTGACTATAATTTCATGTAGTTGAGCTATATGGTAACAAGAAAGCTGCCTAAATCAGTTACTATGAAACAGGGACATGTCAAATAAGGTTATATGAGAATTGGCATCATATTGACTTTTTATCCACGGTTACTGTTTGGTTAATAATTGTCAGTAATGATTAATACGACCTATAATTGTCTCAATCTTTTGTGTTGGTGATCCTTGTCTAATTTAAATTCTAGTTCAGCTAGTCTACCCAAATGAAGTAATGTAGTATGAAGCCAGCAATAAGGGAATTCCACGATATATGATAAGAGGGAGGAAGATTCATTGAGTGTAATGTTAGGAGGTCACACTAGCAACCTTAGGCGGTCTGTGAAGAGAAAAGAGCATCATTCCTAATTGTGTAAATATAATTAGCAGTAGGAAGTATGTATATGTTTGGCTATTCAAATCTCTCTGTTCAAGACTGAGGGCCATACGAACACCTGACAGTTCCTTTAATTATGGTTCCCTGGGTGCCCTGTGCACCATTCCCACGTGCTTGCTGCCTGATCCCCAATAAATATTACTGGAGATCTTGGGGTGATGGTTGTGAGGAGGGCTGGCTGGTGACATAGAACCCTGACTGAGGTTGGAAATAACCTTGACTGAACTGGGCTAGAAGATGGGGTGAAATTCCAGACCCTCAGCATTGATAACCTATCTCCCATCCAATTAATAACTTTTTTAGTAATATCTAAAATTACATTTAAATATGTGTACATATTTTTTAAAATGGCATGGTATCGAATACTTAGTTGATATTAAAAATGTTGTGGAAAGTATGTAATTTATTCAATGTTGTTGTTGTTAAGTGCCGTCGAGTCAGTTCCGACCCATAGCAACCCTGTACAGGGTTTCCGAGGGTGTAAATCTTTACGGGAGTAGAAATCCTCATCTTTCTCCCGCGGAGCGGCTGATAGTTTCGAACCGCTGACCTTAAGGTTCGCAGTCCGATTCGTAACCACTACGCTAATTTATTCAATAGTGTATTTATATAACACACATTCCATTTTTCCATAAGCTTTTTGAAACAATATTTGCTTTTGTAATTTATGATTGATTTTGTCTGTAACTTATAAGTAAACCTGCAACCAAATATTAAACCAGAAATTCACCAAGAACATAATTTCTCTTTTGCTTTTATGTTTCTGTTGAGACACTGTCTGGCAAAGTAGGTAAGAATGTAGATTTTTATATAAACTGAATTGGGTTGAGGCTAGCTTTACCACTTTTCAGCTTTTCAGCTATATGTCCTCAGGCAACTTATTTAACCTCTGACTCTCAGTTTTTCTATTTGTAAAAATGTTGTCATCATGCCCACCTTGTAGAATTACTGCAAAGATAAACTTGAGACTGTATCCAAAGTGTTTGTTATAGTGCTTTTGCTAATAAATATTTTTAAGAGAAAGCAGTTACTATAATTCTGATATTCACATTAATCTTCATGAAAGGGCTATGCTTACAAACATTAAAATATAAATGTTCTGTTACCAATCATTTTCTTTAATACATAGAATACTTAAGAATCTTGGATCAAGAAGTTCAGATACCATTCAACATTACATGTACTGGGTACTAGAGATAAGTGTTTGCTTTTAACTCCTTTGCTATCATAAATATGGGTGGTGGTGGTGGTGGTGGTGGATATGTGCCATGGAGTTGGTTCCGATTCATAGTGACCCTGCCTAGGGTTCCTAAGGCAGTAAATCTTTATGGGAGCAGAAAGCCTCATCTTTCTCCCATGGAAATGCTGGTAGTTTCGAACTGCTGATCTTGAGATTAGCAGCCCGATTCGTAACCACTACGCTACGAGAGCTCCTTGTAAAGAAGGAAGGGAGGAGTAAATATGCTTAGAGTCAGGGTCAGGGTGCCCTTAAACATAGGTTTAGAGATGTAGCACATTTGTATATATAAATGCAAGACATAAATATCAATGAAACTGCTTCAGCCTCTTTTGGTTTAAGACAGTATTCACCAATATGAAAGGAATGAACATTTTTAGGAAGAGGAACTGCTTAAAGTACACTCTTGGGATAAATGAAATAAACTTATTTTCTTAAGGTATTAACAAGGGAATGTGGTGGCTCTGTATGATAAATTCTGGACTGCAAACAGCAATTGAAGTCCACTAGTCACTCCATGGAACAATGGTGAGGCTTCCTGCTCTCAGAAAGATGTGCAGCCTTGGAAACTTTATACAGGGTCACTATGAGTCGGAACCTACTCAACAATGCTTAACAACAAGATATTAACAAAGGAGCCCTGGTAACACTGTAGGATAAACACTAGACTGCTAACCACAAAGCTGGCAATTCAAAGCCACCAGTCACACCGTGGAAGAAAGATGAGGCTTCTGCTCCCATAACAATTTACAGCCTAGGGACCCCTACATTGGATCACTGAGCTGGAATCCATTCAATGGCAAAGGATGGCGAAGGTATTATCAAATGCACTATTTCTTGGTTTACAGCATCTAAATCACCATAGCAGTGACATCTGAGAGGTTCATTGTTTTAAAAGAAATGGAACAATGTTCAAGAAAGAAAAAGCAGTTCACGACAGATTGTCTAAATTCCTGGTATCATAAGAACACAAGTATTGACTAAAATTCCACCCAATTTATAATTTATTTTCATAAGATTCATAACATGATAAATGTCTAAAGTTGTGGGGCATTCCTTTGCTTATGGATTACTCCCTGGATAAGCACCAGCACTCTCTCAATTATAATTATGGAGAAATAACTTCAGGAACTTGGCAAAACTTCAAAAGAATAGTGAAATTTGAGAACAATGTGACTGTCATTTAAAATTTTTTTTTTGTAATAAAGGCACTTCTCAGGGTCTTACAGTAGAATAGATTTTCCTGGCTCTGCCTCCACCACCCAATAAATAAATTCGAACTTTACTTCAGATTAAAGTAAGTTAAATAGGAGGAAGTTAACGATAGATAAGAAATGACAAAGCTGGAGTGGATGGATTTCCCAAAGTAAAATGTGGCTGAGTAGGAGAGAAATGGAATGATACTATTGGAATACCATAAAGTCTTATATAT